AATACATGCAAAATGTACCTAATGTTATACTATTTCATGAGAAATTTTTGTTACTTACGATAGTTGATTCAGTTTCTTTTAATAAGCTTAGCCAACACGTGAAATTTTTTTAGAAAAACCACATGAAATCTTTAATCACTGATAAAAAGTCAACAATCAACTCCACAGGCCTGGTTTTTGCATCTGGTGTCTTCAAATGTCTAGTAGTAACATATTTTACCGGTAGAGCGCGCGAGTTGACGATAGTCACAGAGAAAACGCGGAGGTACGATTTGGGCGCTGGTACGATTTAGGCAACCTTACCCTACGTTTCGCGACCTGCAAAAACTTCATAAAAATTCTCTGCTTAAGAGCAGTCTTCCGTGGAGCCCTTTCATGAAAGCTACTATTACGAGTTGTTTTCTTCTCTTTCTTGAGTTTGGTCATTTCTTCGAGAATATCCTTCTCTTTACCTGCAACAACCAGCTATGTCGAATCATAATAACCAAATCAACATAGTTGCATCTGTCGCATGTAATAAGAGGTTAGAGAATTGGAAAAGAAATGAATAAAAGATCAAGGATTAAGGATTTTAGATACCTCTAAGGTGATATACCCAGAGAGTACATGAACTGGCCCCATATCCTATATCACCCGCTCAATATNAAGAGCTAAAACGTTCAACACTGTAGCAAATTAATACAGAATCTTACTCGATATCTTGACGATGGAGCTCCTGAAAGTCTTCGTCCCGTACTTAAAGTCAATATCCACACTTGTTGATATTGGCACATCAGCATCGGCTACAATGAGGTCCTTCTTCGGAACGCAGTAGAAGTGGTCGGTACTGACGATCAAAAAGTATTTCTGACCACTATTCATGGTGAACGGAGCTTTCCACTTAACATAAGTAAACTATGAAATCTATCCTACAACAAGCACCTGCCGATGGAAATAGATAACATTGTCACCGAACAAAGGCACACGAAACACCAAATATGTCTGACAGTGATGAAAGATCGATTCCGCTGCAACGAGAATATCAAAGCGGTAGGGGCACGCACACAAGCGAGAACTGCCGTCCGTGTGCGCACATTGAAACCAGAAATGTTGTACTAATTCCATTAGAGTCTATTTTTAAAGTTATTAGGGTTGGACAGTTTGTTTGTCTTCGACCCAACAGGTTTGAGCGCAATTTGTAATATACCCTATTTTTGTATGTACCTATTATCAATAAAAGCATTTAAAACAAAAATATTGAAAAATTTATTTGTGTGACCTTGTAAGTCCATTTTCTTAAGGAATAAGGCACACTTGAATCAACTTGTTTTTAGCCAACAAATTACATTGGTATTTTTTTAAATTTGATTTACATAGTGCCATATTTGATCTAATATTTCTAAATTTCAATTAAATTTGTGTAAATTTGTTCATTTTTTAAATTTGTTTCGTCCTAAGTGGCTTATTTAAGACCATAAACTTTAAATTAAAACAAATTTACGAATAAAAAACCAAATTTAAACCAAATTTGATGTAAATCCATTTAAATTTAGACTAAATTAAGAAGAGAAAATTAATTTAAAATAAATATAATTTAAATTTAAAACAAATATAGAGTTAAATATTAACGTTTTACAAGGGTTATTTAAAAGTTTTAAACGTTATATAAAAATATAGAGGAATCTCTATGATAAACATAATATCATAAACATAATATTTATAATGTAACATATAATGTTTATATGTAATATATATATATATTAAACATCATCACTCTCTACATAAGTGTCACTTACAGGATTTTTAGTTTATTATATAGTGACACTTAGAAAGTCATGTTCTTTATGGTCACCAAAAATAAAATAAAAAAATATTTATAAGTAAAATATTTATAAGTAAAACTTTAAAACCAAAAAAATCCCTTAATTAAAGAAACACATGAAGTTTTAAACCTTTAAACTGCTCTCCTTTAAAATTTGGAGTTACGGGATTGTATATAGGGAGTAACGACATGTATACTTATATAATATATATTATATATCGATCATGAAAGCATCTAATTAAAAATGCTTTAAATGCTTAAATGAAGGTGGCTTGGGAGGCATAGTGTTTACCCCTTTACGTAATAACTTGTCCAATTTAGCGTTTAAAATTCTGCAAACATACAACGTATTTTACATATTTTTTAAGAATATGCTCTACTTTAATTTGTACTATAAAAATTACTAAAATTTAAAATTTACTAAACTTCACACTTAAAAATTACTAAACTTCCAACAATAAATCTTTGATTATAGGAAATAAACTTTAAATATATGTGTATATAATATTAGAAATATTTACTTAATTATTTTAGAGTATTTACTTACTGATAATATTCATGAAATTTTTCACACAAACAACGCGTTTCGCGTCTGAAAAAAGCATATTTAACGTGTACATTACATTATTTACACTTGTAAATGCACAAACATATTTGTTTATTAAATAAAATAATAATAAATAATAATAATAAATATGAAATAATTTGTATACAAAACAATGTTTTTAATCAGCTTTTATGTGACACTATAAGTAACGTGTGTGTCATATAGAAATAAATATGTTGATTTCGAAATAAATTTTGCTTGTATTAATAGTACAATTTTATATAGTATTTCATATATCTTTTTACATTAGTCAATTGTAAATAATAAAATTATTATTACTGAGAAAAATCTATTAAGAAAAATTTTATTAAATTATTGTCTATATTATAAAAATACATAAGAAGCACACAAATAATAACATGTAACGAAAGCTGATTGAATGTTTTAAAAAAAAAGTTAACTTACTGAAAATCTCCCTTTGAAAGAACACGCTCTAAATATGTAATAGGTATCGACTCTATTTCTTTATCTGATTTATGACCTATGATCAGTGACTTATTTTTATCGCTTTGAGACTTATGTTTTTCTAAATTAGTGTAAGTAGATATCACTCGAGTAGATCCCTCCTGTTCATTAATAAGTATCGTTATAAATTTGTTGAAACAGTCCGTATTTTACTGGAGCTAACTGTGATGTTATTGTATTTGTTACCTGGTGTGTGTGTGTCTCATTTTGTGGAGATCTATAAAATGAAGCACTTGAAAAAGGCTCTTCATACGAAACCCTTCCAATATCAGATCCATACATATGTAAGCTTGAGGAATCAGTGAAAGTAGATATACTTTCAGGTGTATATACATTGAAACCTGATATAGGATTCCGCGGTAATAACTCAGTATATGTCTTTTGAGGCACTGACCACGTTTTAGTGATAACATTTGGTGGACGACACAGCTGCGCAGTTGGTTTCATTGATTGGAGTGAATTAAGAGAGGAGACATCAGGAAAAATATTGGCAGCTTCGTTCTCTTTATTAAAATTTAAATTATCTCTTATTTTGCTAATATCACCTTCCATGTCAATAATTTGGTCAGGTCGATCACATTCATTCTTTCGATTTGTAACTTTGTCTTTATCTGACGATGAAGTAGTTATATATTTTTTAGGCCGTACAATTTGACGAGAAGGATGACCTAAGCTAAACAAATAAAAATTTTCGTTATTTTAATATACGTTACTTACTAATTACTTTTAAATAGCAAAAAATGTGCATCAAAATAAAACAATTCAAAACAATTCAAAACAATTCAAAATTAAGGATTATTGTACAGAAATATAAAAAATAAATGTTGAAGAAAATGCAACAAAATTGATTGAAACAAAACGCATATTTGTTGGAAGTCACTGCAAGAAAGTGAGAATAAATACATAAATAATATTATATAAAATTTTTGATATGACAAAACCAAAAAAGAAAAGCAACTATATAGAACAGAAGCTACAAATTAATAATAAATAAAACTAATTTTATATAATAATAGTTTTACATTGAAATCACAATAAAAGTAATTAAATACATATTTT